ATTAGCTGAATTACCACCAGGCAAGAAAGTGCTTCACAACAAGTGGATTTACAGGATCAAAGAAGAGCACGATGGGAGCAAACGCTACAAAGCGAGATTGGTTGTCAAAGGTTTTCAACAAAAAGAAGGTATTGACTACAATGAAATTTTCTCTCCAATCGTGAAACTGTCTACAATCAGACTGGTGTTGAAAATTGTAGCTGCAGAGAATTTACATCTTGAGCAGTTAGATGTAAAGACAACTTTCCTTCATGGTGATTTGGAGGAAGAAATCTATATGAGGCAGCCAGAAGGCTTCATAGAGGTAGGCAAGAAAAACCTGGTATGCAGGTTGAAGAAGAGCTTGTATGGTTTAAAACAAGCTCCTAGACAGTGGTACAAGAAGTTCGATAGTTTCATGAGTAGCAGTGGTTTTACCAGATGCCAAGCAGATCATTGTTGCTACATCAAGAGGTTCGATAATAGCTTCATTATTTTATTGTTGTACGTTGATGACATGCTCGTTGCAGGCTCAGACATGTAAGAGATTATAAACTTGAAGCAAAAATTGTCAAAGCAGTTTGCTATGAAGGATCTGGGTGCTGCAAAGCAGATTCTTGGGATGAGGATCAAGAGAGACACAAAGTCGGGGACTTTGATATTATCACAGGCTGAGTACATCGACAAAGTACTCTCTAGGTTCAACATGCAAGATGCTAAACCAGTAAGTACACCTTTAGGTGTTCATTTCAGACTCTCCAAAGAACAGTCACCAAAGACGGAGGAAGAACGTGCACACATGGTGAAGGTGACGTATGCCTCAGCAATTGGAAGTCTGATGTATGCCATGGTTTGTACCAGACCAGATATTGCTCAAGCAGTGGGAGCTGTTAGTAGGCACATGAATAATCCAGGCAAGGTACACTGGGAAGCAGTCAAATGGATCCTCAGATATCTGTGGGGTACCACAAACAAAACACTTTGTTTCAAAGGTGGAGATACGATACTGACAGGCTATGTAGATGCTGACTTAGCCGGAAATGTTGACATCAGAAGGAGCACTACAGGGTATGTCTATACTCTAGGAGGAACCGCAGTGAGTTGGGTTTCTCAACTACAGAAGATAGTTGCTCTCTCCACAACTGAAGCAGAATATGTCGCTGTTACGGAAGCCAGCAAGGAGATGGTTTGGCTCCAAAGTTTCTTGGAAGAGTTAGGCAAGAAACAAGAAAACAATGTCTTGTATTGCGACAGTCAAAGTTCTATACATCTAGCAAAGAATCCGTATTTTCATTCCAGGACAAAGCACATACAATTATGATATCATTTTATCCGGTCTCTTCTGGAAGATGGGATTTTGAAACTTGAAAAGATCAGTGGAGCTCAAAATCCGGCAGACATGTTGACAAAGACGGTGACTACAGACAAACTGAAGTTGTGTTCAACTTCAGTTGGCATGCTAGAGTAACAAGACTAGAAAAGTTGTTGCATTGATCGAGGTGTGAAGACAGATTAAAATCAGTCTTCAAGTGGGAGATTGTTAAAATTATTAAAATGGTTTTCAAGTTTGGTAACCAACTTTGAAAAAATGGTTTTCAAAGTTTGGTAAATGTTTCTTTGAAAATGGTTTTCAAAGTTTGGTAAATGTTTCTTTGAAAAATAGTTTTTTAAAGTTTGGTAGATGTTTGTTGAAAAATGATAATGGGATAATCACAATTAATCCCTAGGCTTTAAGGTATTTACAAGATTAAGTCCTTAAGTTTCAACTATAAATACCCTAGCTCATTTAGCTTCAAAACCATCCCAAAAATCATTTCTTTCTCCCAATACTAGAGAGCTTTCTTGTGAGTAGTGAGTGTTTTGTAAACACCTGTAAATTTTCTCTCTTAGTAAAAGATCTGCAGCAGTTCGGAGACATAGGCACAATTGGCTGAACTCCGTTATCAATTTCGGAATTATTTTTCCGCTTTTATTTCGTATTCTCACTAATCTGACTATAGAGAAATTACTTATTACTCGTTTATTTCCCAACACAAACGTGCAAAAACAAATGCACGATGTCAATGATCGTCTTCACTCCATCAAGGCAAACATCACCAAAATTTTGTCATACCTCCACCATCTTTCGTGTCAGATGTTGATGTTTCTAGTAAATACGTCTTGATTGAATCAAGCAAAAGATAGTTTTGTGTTAAACAAAAGAATCTTAGGCATGACAACTTTGGGGAGAAGAAAGTAATTCATTTTCGTGGACATAATGAATTCGAAAAGTAAAAAATTTAGTTCCTTGAACATAATGAATTTATGGCAAAATCTCTATTCATCATAATAATTAATAATGCCAAGGGAAGAACTATTTCTTCACATTGTTCTACAGTTATGAATAGGCACAGAAAATCTCAATTCTGGTTTGACAACATCGACATTGTTGCGATTCATGGCGGATCTATAAAATTTTTTAGAGTGGTCACATATATTTTAACAATATAAAATTTTTGAATGAGGTAAACATAAGTAAAATTTTAGGATGTAAATCATCAATAAAATGTGTCACTAATCGAAGAAAATTTAAATTTCAGAATGGGCATAATAAAATTTCAGGATGAAATCAATCAATAAAATAGGTGACTAATCGGAAAAAAATCGAATTTCAGGGTAGACACATGCCACCCTCAACCAAGAGTGCATCTGCCATTGGTTTCCGTGATTGTTAACCTTGCCTTACTTGCAAAGACAAAACGTTCAAACCAGGGTATCAAATCATGGACTGAAAACGTGATTTCGCCAGTGAAATAGCGGTTTCGTCGTCGTCCAAGTTACCCGCTTCACCCGCAATAGCACCTGCGACGATCATAATCACAGTAAACCCGAAATAATCAAAAATGCAACCGCAACCGCGATTTAAAACCCTGATGCAACCCTGAGTTACATTCTTTTCAGGAAAAATGAATGAAAGACTATGTAAGACCGAGTCTTAGTTTTCTCATATTGACTTCTCTTGGAAATTCGTTTGCAAAATTTGAAAGCGAAATAATTTAAGTTCTCAAGTCCCCAACAACGAACGGATCAGGGGATCCACTTATTAATGGGACACTGAGAGCGCAACTGCTCCCTCCCCGGATTAAATATACGCTTCTTGTGAGACACCCCAAACCCATATCTTATACTGAAGCAGTCATGAATTCTGTTCAATGGCTTCTCAAAATACTCCTTATTTTCTTTCTTTCTCAATTCTCCTTCTCAGCTGACACAATAACGCGACATCAATTCATCAAAGATAACAAGGATGAAGTCATAGTGTCTGGTGGCAAGATTTTTGCACTTGGATTTTTCAGCGCCGGAAGTTCCAGGAATCGATATGTTGGCATCTGGTATTACCAGATTCCTGGGAAGACAGTTGTTTGGGTGGCCAATAGAGACAATCCCATTAAAGATACCTCAGGGATTCTCAGAATCGATGGTCGTGGAAATCTTGTCTTGTTCCAGGGAAACCGAACACTCCCTGTTTGGTCTACTAACATCTCCATCGCAAGCACTATGAACACCATTGCTCAAATTTTGGATTCGGGAAATCTTGTCTTGCTTCAGAATGATTCCAGAAAGACCGTACTGTGGCAGAGTTTTGGTTATCCTACAAATACTTGGCTTTCATTTATGAAAATTGGGTTCAATTTGAGAACCGGTCTGAACCAATCATACACGTCTTGGAAGTCTCCGGATGATCCAGGAGTTGGAAACTATTCCTTCAGGATGAACCCGGGCGTGTCCCCTCAAATGGTTTTGTACAAGGGTTCTGTTCCTCTGTGGCGGAGCGGCACATGGACCGGGAAACAATGGAGTGGTGTACCTGAAATGACACAGAACTTGTTATTTCGTGATTCTTTTGTCAACACTGATGATGAAGTATCGTTCTCGTCTGATGTGAGAAATGCCTCCGTTATAGAAAGAGCGGTAGTGAATGAAACTGGTGTTTTACAAAGAGTAATCTGGAACAATGAATTACGACGTTGGATTTCTTTAACGATTCCTAAGGAACAGTGCGATTTTTACGGGCATTGTGGGCCAAATGGTTATTGTAATCCTTATGTAGGTGATATCGAGTGCGTGTGTTTCCCCGGATTCGAACCGAAATCACCCGAAGCATGGTTTGTAAGAGATCGGACAGGAGGATGCTTGAGGAAGCGTGGTGTCTCCATGTGCGGAAATGGAGAAGGGTTCGTTAAGTTTCCACATGTGAAGGTACCAGACACTTGGGCGGCACAGGCACTTGTAGACATGAGTATAGGATTAAAGCGATGCGAGGAACAGTGCTTGAGAAACTGTTCATGCATGGCTTATGCTAGTGCAAACTCTGAGACCAACGGAGGGGTTGGCTGCTTGACATGGCACGGAGATTTGGTGGACGCGAGGGCATACACCGAGACTGGACAAGATCTATACATACGAGTCGATAAAAACGATTTAGGTACGTGTCATTCTTCTGCCATCTTGACAATGAATCATTAAAAACAGATATATAAATACTAATCATATCTCCATCTTGACAGCTCGGTATACAAAGAAAGGTCTAATTCAAAAGAAGGGAGTAGAGGCGGCTATCATAGTTTCTTCTGCCATAGTGTTTCTCATTCTTGTCGCCTTCTTGCGTTCTTTTGTACTACGGCAAAGAAGAGGTGCGTACAACTTTTCACCACTGTTTAATTTGCAACTAACAATTGGCTTAATCATGAACTTGTGTTTGACTAACAGAAGCAAGAAAAAGAACAAACAAATTTAGGTCATCCTCGTACTTCGAGGATTCTTTAGGAGAAGAGGAGACTGATGAGACCAGAGGAAATGGAGATTTACCTTTCTTTGATTTGAGCACCATAACTGCTGCCACTAATAATTTCTCTTCTGATAACAAACTTGGACAAGGCGGATTTGGTCCCGTTTACAAGGTAGTTTTCTCTTAACAAGTATTTATGTACGTAGATCTCCGATTGGTCCATTCATTAAAGGAAATTCCTTTGTATTTGCAGGGTGTGCTCTTCAATGGAAGAGATATAGCAGTGAAAAGACTATCAAAGCACTCAGGGCAGGGAGTACAAGAGTTTAAGAATGAAATTGTGCTAATTGCAAAACTTCAGCACAGGAATCTCGTAAGGATGCTGGGATGCTGCATTGAGGGTGAAGAGAGGATGTTAATCTATGAGTTCTTACCTAATAAAAGCTTAGACTCTATCATTTTCGGTATGCATTCGTTTCATTTGTTCGATACTTATTCGAAATACTACATTTTTAAAACTGATTTGGGATACAGATGAATCAAAAAGATCGTTGTTGGATTGGAAAAAGCGTTTCGAAATCATATGCGGTATTGCTCGAGGAATGTTGTATCTTCACCAAGATGCCAGGTTAAGAATCATTCATAGAGATCTGAAAGCGAGCAATGTCTTATTGGATGCAACAATGGATCCCAAAATATCAGATTTCGGCATGGCCAGAATATTTGGAGAAGATCAAACAGAAGGCGATACTAAACGTGTAGTTGGAACATAGTAAGGGTTTCGTACACAAAATTTGTAGACAACTTCCGCAAACAAGTTTTAACTTCCTTTCCGTTTATGTTTCTAGCGGTTACATGTCGCCGGAATATGCAATGCAGGGACACTTCTCGATGAAATCCGATGTATATAGCTTTGGCATCCTGCTGTTAGAGATTATCACTGGGAAAAAGATTAGCAGTCCTTTTCCCGACAGTCCGTCTTCTAGTCTGGTCGGACATGTAAGTGACCAAGTGACATCAATTAAATCAAAATCTTCCAGTCAAATTATTCCAAACAACATTGTTTCAGGTTTGGGAGCTGTGGAAAGAAGACAAAGCCATGGAAGTTGTCGACTCGACATTAAATGATTCATATTCTGCGGATGAAATCTTGAATTGCATACATATCGGGCTGTTGTGCATCCAAGAACATGCAGCACATAGACCAACGATGTCTACAGTGGTTTCTATGTTGAGAAACGAAGCAACTCTCCCGTCACCGGAACAACCTGCATTTATACAGAAGAAAGGTCAGGAAGAAGCTAACTCTGTAAATGTTGTGTCCATCACTATGATTGAAGCTCGCTAGACATATAATATGTCCTTCATATCGAAACTTCAGCCATCGTTATTTCTGTTTCAGATTAGAAAAGATATCATAGCAACTTATTGGACCTGCTTCATTACGTGTATAATATTTGTATTAAGTTTGTTATTTATGGATTTATGGACTACATAAATAAGTTTAACCTAATCATTCACAAATATGATTGAGTTTGTCAGAAATTTAAAACTTATATTGAAGTTTAGAATGGAATGGAGCAAGTCTGTGATATTAATATTGTACATAGGACAAGATATGATCCAACCCACAACTTGATTTAAAACTTGCGAATCATAGGTTTTTTTTTGTCCAACAAGGCAATAGGGTAAATTATTTGAAAAATAGGACAAGTACAAGTTTATTTTGATATTTGCAACATTATTGTAGTGTTCAAAGAACTCGTCATGTCATGGGATGAGTTTCAATAAAAAAATTATTCAAGCTCATCACGTCTAGGTGACGAGTTTTAATAAAATATAATATTTTTATTAATTTTTGTCATATCGAGATAAAAAGTTTCAATAATTTTTTTTATTAAAACCTGTCACATCAAATCACATGTCACTGTAACAAATGTCATAGATATCAAAATAAATTTTCACATATCCTGTTGAGTTTTTTTTTCCAATTCAGTCCTATTTAGGGGTGTATTCGGTTCGGTTCGGTTTTTTACCAAAAATTGAATCGAACCGAAATAAATGGTTTTCAATATTTAAACCGAAACCGAAACCGAATAGTTAAAAAACCGAAAAAACCGAAACCGGTTTTTTCGGTTCGGTTCGGGTTTTTTAACGGTTCAGGTTTTTCGGTTCGGTTCGGTTTTTCAATGAAAAAATCACTTGAAACTATAATTTTTTTTACAAAGATTGCTATTCGGTTCAATATGGAACAAATGGGTTCCATATGGAAAACCCGAACCGAACCGAATCAAAAAAATGAAGCCTTTAAATCGAACCGAAAATCGAATCGTATAATGCCAAACCGAACCATTTTGCTCGGTTCGTGTCAATTTTTCGATTTTCTCGATTTCGTTGCTCAGCCCTAGTCCTATTGGGTTAAAAAACCGCGAATCATATGTTAAAGGCCGTAGCTCAAATTTTATTTAGCCAGTCAAAATATTTATGATACGACTCAATTGGTGAAGAATTATTTTGAAAGTAAAACGAGGTGTTGTGGTGATCATGCTTAATTTTGTACGTATATATGTATGTATTTGGGTATTCTCGTATGATGATACTTAATTTCACAACTTTTTTTGTACAATTTTCAATTATATAGAATTTTTTTGTACAAATTTTATACATTTTCAAAAAAATACGTTTTCAAAACATATATTATATACTTTCAAAAATAACGTTTGAAATTATATATATATATATATTATACTAAAAAAATAAAACCTTTAATGTCTCAGACGAAAATGGGTGTTTACACATTTAAAATATGTTTATTTTTTTTAAATTTTTCTTTAATTTGCAATCTCTTACCGTATCTTTGTTCAAATACGTAACAAATCGGTATCAGAGTGTTTATGTTTGATTTTCTTATGATAATGACAACTTTAAAGTGCGATCTTTTTTGTTAGATTATAATCATGCATCATAACATCAAATTCACATTTGAGCATCTCGATTTAATTAAAAGTTAATTTAGGAGATTCAAATTACATTTTAGAAATTCATATGGTCAAAATTAACATATTAGGTTATTTAAACATTCTAATAAGTATACTTTACCTTGTTCAAAATAGACATGACATTGCACTGCATACTGTGTTACTAATAGAAAAAGATAGATAACCAATGATACATACAACTTTAAATCAAGTTTTGACAATAATAAGCAAAAGGAAAACGATTGTTGAAGTTTAGCTATGAAGCACTACAAATTTTTACAGAGGTGGGGTTTTGACTATTCGATACTTCATCTCATTTGTGACTTTTTTCTATATAAATACAGGTCGATCTAGATAGGATAGATCCAGAGGAAGGTTGATGGGGCAGTCGTCCCTTAAAAATTTTAAATTCTTATATATTTTAGATATTTTCTTCATATATTTTTGTTAAAAACATTCCCTTTGAAATTTTATAAATTTGTCTCCTCTTAACTTTTTTTTATAAATTCACCCCTCTAATATAAAATCTTACATCCGTCCCTAAATCAAAAAAACGAATCGATTCATGTTGTTGTGCGACGGGAAATATAACTAAAAAGTCGTGGCTGCAAAGTACAAAACGTTAGTGCAAAATAATAGCCGAGAGAGACAACACTAGTAAGACCGAGTCTTAGATTTCTCATATTGACTTGGAAATTTGTTTGCAAAATTAGAAATAAATGCCTCAGAGATTAACACCAAGACCCCAGCAACGGGACTTGCTGGGGGGGTCATCTTATTAATGGGACACTGAGAATCCAACCGTTCTCTTCCGGAATTAAAATTTTTTATAATATTATTTTTTAACTTTATTATAATATTTATTTAAAAAATATATGTATTTTGAAGATAAAATTGTCATCGATTATTTTGAGTTAGACGTTATAAATCACATTTAAAAAATAACGAAAGGGTTATTAAGTTTTCAAAAGAGAGACAATATTGTAAGACTGGGTCTTAGATATCTTAACTCTAAGACCCCAGCAACCGACGTAATGGGGGATCCCCTTATTAATGGGACACTGACAACCCAATTGCACCCCTCCGAATTTAATATAAAAGAAGAATAAGCCCCAAACCCGAATCATGTATTGAATCAGTCATGAATTCTGTTAAACGGCTTATCAGGATACTGCTCATTTTCTTTCTTTCTCAATTCTCCTCCTCAGCTGACACAATAACGCAACATCAATTCATCAAAGATAGCAAGGATGAAGTCATAGTGTCTGGTGGCAAGATTTTTGCACTTGGTTTTTTCAGCCCCGGAAGTTCCAGGAATCGATATGTTGGCATCTGGTATCATCAGATTCCTGGGAAGACAGTTGTTTGGGTGGCCAACAGAGACAATCCCATTAAAGATACCTCAGGGATCCTCAGAATCGATGGTCGAGGAAATCTTGTCTTGTTCCAGGGAAACCGAACACTCCCTGTTTGGTCTACTAACATCTCCATCGCAAGCACTATGAACACCATTGCTCAAATTTTGGATTCGGGAAATCTTGTTTTGCTTCAGAGTGATACAACAAGAAAGGAGGTGCTGTGGCAGAGTTTTGGTCATCCTACAAACACTTGGCTTTCATTTATGAAACTTGGGTTCAGCTTAAGAACCGGTGTGAACCAAGCATACACGTCTTGGAGGTCTCCGGATGATCCAGGGATTGGAAACTATTCCTTCAAGATGAGCGAGGGCGTGTCTCCACAAATGGTTTTGTACAAGGGCTCGGTTCCTTTGTGGCGAAGCGGCACATGGACCGGGAAAAGATGGAGTGGTATACCTGAAATGACACAGAGCTTCATATTTCGTGATTCTTTTGTCAACACTGATGATGAATTATCGTTCTCCTCCGACACGAAAAATGCCTCCATCCTAACAAGATGGGTAATGAATGAAACTGGAGTCGTACATAGAATAACATGGAACAATGAAGCGCAACGTTGGATTACTTTCTATTCGACTCCAAAGGAACAATGTGATTTTTACGGACATTGTGGGCCAAATGGTTATTGTAACCCTTATCTAGGTGATTTCGAGTGCACATGTTTCCCTGGATTCGAACCGAAATCACCCGAAGAATGGTTTATAAGAGATGGGGCAGGAGGATGCGTGAGGAAGCTCGGTATCTCCATGTGTAGAAATGGAGAAGGGTTCGTCAAGTTTCCACATGTGAAGGTGCCAGACACTTGGGCGGCACAGGCACTTGTAGACATGAGTATAGGATTGAAGCAATGCAAGGAAAAGTGCTTGAGAAATTGCTCCTGCATGGCCTATGCTAGTGCAAACTCAGAGACCAACGGAGGTACCGGCTGCCTGACATGGCATGGAGATTTGGTCGATGCGAGGGCATATATGGAGACGGGACAAGATCTATACATACGAGTGGATAAAACCGAGTTAGGTACGTATCATATATGCAAGTTGCAGCTATAAATATACTTCCAAAACAGGTCTAAATCAGTTATTTACATTTGTTTACATGAACTGAAAATGCATCTACAATTTGATAGTACGGTTTACAAAGAAAGGTCTACTTCAAAAGAAGGGAGTGCTTGCAGTTGCCATAGTTTCCTCTGCTTTAGTGTTTCTCATTCTTTTCGCCTTCTTGCGTTGCTTGGTACAACGGAAAAGAAAAGGTACGTACTGCAACACACAGTAATGAACATTTTTGACGTTTTAATCATTGGAAACTAGGATATTTGCAACTAAATTGGCTTAATAATGACAGTGTTTGAGTACTGACAGCAGAAAGAACGAGAAAAGGCAAAAACATCTTTAGCTTTACCAGATTCGAAGACCCTTTAGGTGAAAAGGAGATTGATGAGAGCACAAGAAATGGAGAATTATCATACTTTGATTTGAGCACCATAGCTGCTGCCACTAATAATTTCTCTTCAGATAACAAAATTGGACAAGGTGGCTTTGGCCCTGTTTACAAGGTTGCTTTTCACTTAACTATTTATATGCATAGAACTCCTACTAGTCTACTCAATGAAGGAAATTTTCTTTGTATTTGCAGGGTGTGCTCTTCAATGGAAAAGAAATAGCAGTGAAAAGACTATTAAACTCCTCAGGTCAGGGATTGCAAGAGTTTAAGAATGAAATACTGCTAATTGCAGAACTTCAGCACAGGAATCTTGTAAGGATGCTTGGATGTTGCATTGAAGATGAAGAGAAGATATTAATCTATGAGTTCTTGCCAAATAAAAGCCTAGACTCTATCATTTTCGGTATGTCTTCTTTCGAGTTGTTGAATACTTGCGCCAAATATTACAATTTTAAGTTATGAAAACTGATTAGGGATACAGATGAATCAAAAAGTTCTCTCTTGGATTGGAAAATGCGTTTCGAAATCATATGTGGAATTGCTCGAGGAATGTTGTATCTTCACCAGGATTCCAGATTAAGAATCATCCATAGAGATCTGAAAGCGAGCAATGTCTTATTGGATGCAGCCATGAATCCGAAAATTTCAGATTTCGGCATGGCCAGAATATTTGGAGAAGATCAAACAGAAGGAGATACTAAACGTGTAGTTGGAACATAGTGAGCATTTCATATACAAAATTTGCAGATAACTTTCGATAATTTCGAACATGTTCTAACTTCTAACCAAATTCCGTTCTGTTGTATGTAATGTTTGTAGCGGTTACATGTCGCCAGAGTACGCAATGGAAGGACACTTCTCGATTAAATCCGATGTTTACAGCTTCGGCGTCCTGCTGTTGGAGATCATCACCGGAAAAAAGATTAGCAGTCCTTTTCCTGATAGTCCGTCTTTGAGTCTTGTAGGACATGTAAGTAAACCACGTTTGCAGAACAATTTAATCAATATCTTCCATTCTAACAACAATGTTTCAGGTTTGGGAGGTGTGGAAAGAAGACAGAGCCATGGAAGTTGTGGACTCGGCATTAGGCGATTCGTATTCTGCAGATGAAATCTTGAATTGCATTCAAATTGGGCTGCTGTGCGTACAAGAACATGCAGCACATCGACCAATTATGTCTACGGTTGTTTCTATGTTGAGTAACGAAGCAACTCTTCCGTCACCGGAACAACCTGCATTTATAGAGAAGAAAAGTCATCAAGCCGACGGGTTATCGAGTAGTGGAGGAGCTAACTCTGAAAATGTTGTGTCCATCTCTATCATTCAAGCTCGCTAGTCATAATATGTGTGTAATATTCATTTAATTATATAAAAAAACAAGAGTAATAGAATTTTATATAAATTGAATATTTTTCGAATAATATGACGTGATTATAAGATAATATCTATTTAAAAAAATTAATATTTTGACAAATTTCACACACTTTATTAATACAATTGCTTAAATTTAAAATTTAAAAAAAATTACTTTTATCATTAATTTATTAGAAAGGAATGAATAGAGGCATTAATTTGGAAAGTAAAAAATCACGTGGAGCACGTTGGTAAAATAAATGTTGCAAAATCCATTTATTTTTCTACCATCGTTTGCATCATTAGGCTGATCAATTCCGAGCAATATCTCACATACGCTTCTAGGGGAACCGGAAACACCAGTAATAGCTACTCCATCAATAAGCAGCTCTAGATGAAATGCAACATCTTGCAAGGTAAGAGTTACCTCCCCATACGTTAAATGAAACGTGTGCGTCTCCGATCTCCGTCTTTCCACCAACGCATTGATAAGTGGAGGATACAACTTCACACTATCACCATTTATACTACTAATATATCTGAAACTCGCTAAATGTGAATACTCAATAATATCAATATTGGACGGTGTCACGTGATTTATATGACACTCTAATACACGTTCATACCCCTACGAAATATAAATATTAAAAAACTTATTTAAATCCCAAAATAAATTAATTAAATCAATAAATAAATAGTAAAAAATAAAAAATAATATTAATTAATTTACCTCATCATTTCGCCTCTAATATTCAAATACGTGACTTCGATCATGTCTTAATAGACTCGTCGCCATGATATGAAATCTTTGAATCTTTGAATATATGAAAGGGATGAGTGTGGCAATGAAAAAGAGTGAAGGACCCAATTTATAGCCCTTATCGCACCCGAGGAATCGCAATTTTAAATACAAATTGCGTCCTGTAAGACTCGAGGTACTGAAAACACACAAAATTTCCAATACCTCGCATTTTGTAAGAATCGAGATTGCTTTAATTCAAATTTCAAAATATATTATAATTATTTTTATAAAATATCTATTTTAATTATTATATTTATATATTTTTATATTTTTAATTATTTATTACATTTAATAATTAATATTATTAATTAATATTATTATATTTATTTATTATAATATAATTTATTTCTAAGTTTCAAATTAGGTTATTATATGGAATCCGAAAGAACCTCGTGCTTTGAGGCCACGATGTCCCTTATAAATCTCGTGATATTTTGGATCATAAAGGCTACCTCGCACTTCACAATGCGCGATGTTATTTTATCTAATTGATTTATTGGCTTACCTGGAAAGTGCGTCAACGTCATATGTATCTCGCGTGTTGGAGGGTGCGAGGATTTAACACTCAGTTTGCAGGCCGCAGAGTCGTTCGATGTGGACGATATAGGGGTTATTCTTCCAAATAATATCTGGAGGGCCTTATTTCTTTAAATAATTATTTATTTGTGGTTTTAAAAAATAAATTTGCCTTAGGTAACTACTTGAATTGTACCTTTGTTCAGGACAACAAACAAAGGGATTTTGTTGTAGGTTGATGCCCATCAGACAAGACTTTAAGCCCTAAAATGTGCTTGGATTATACATACATGTATCCTTAATTCATGTGGCGTTTTTACCCAAAAATACCCAAAGAATCAATAATTACCTGTTAGACACTCATTGACCAAATTTTACCGATTTAACACCCATTTACTGACATGGACAGAAGGTGCGGATCATCAAGCGCGCATTCCCTGGGTTTTCGTTCGAGCTGGTGCCATGCGGATCACCATCTGCGCCTTCCCTAGGTTTTCGTCTGAGCTGGCGCCACACGACAAATGCGCGGTTCACTATCCGTGCCTTCGTAGGAAACCTGACACTCAGCGAAAGGCGTGGAACACCATCTGTGTCTTCCATAAATACCCCCAACCGTCCTTCGCTCCCCCTTAATTACCACATACTCCTCTCCCTATATATACCCCCTCATACAACTCTCAAACCACACAAAAAAACACTCTCCTTCTTCCTTTTATCATTCCTTCTAACAAGCTTCAAGTGAGTTATAATCATGAAATAGTTTATTATTTTATTATATTTTACTATACTATTTTTTTTTTATGTTTTGCAGTTATAAAATGAAAGGTGGATTGTTAAGTTTAGATATAAATCATATTTTGAGTCATTTTGTCAATATGATAACAATTTTAAATTGTGTTATGTTAATTATTATGAATGTTTTATTTATTTATTTTAGTATTAATTTATATTTTAATTTGTATACTATTTATTTAATTAGGGGAATAACCGTATATTAGATCCATTTATTTGTAAAGCTAAGTTAGAGATATCGAATCGTGTCTGGTCGTATTTAGCCGAGGTTGGATTCAATTTCATCGCTAGATATGAAGGGCATTGTAACCTTGAATCCAACCTTATTTCTGCAATGGTTGAGAGGTGGAGACAATAGACAAACACATTCTATCTACTGTGTAGGGAGTGCACTATTATGCTAGAGGATGTTTCCTTATATTTGGGGCTTCCGGTGGATGGGGATGTCATTTCTGGTGTGGCGGATGGTGATTGGCATTCCTTGTGTGAGAAGTATCTTAAAGGTATCCCGCCTAATTTCAACGGTGGTCGAATATCGTTATCATGGTTGGCTACAAATTTTTGACAGTTGAGTGACAACTATTCCGAGGAATAGGCTAAAATATTTGCCTGAGATTGCATATCATGACTCATAAGAGGGATCTTGATGCCCGATAAATCTCGTAACCAAGTTCATTGTATGTGATTGCGTTACCTCAGAAATTTTTAAGTTGCTGGCTCATTTAGTTGGGGCTCCACAGTTTTGATATCTCTGTATAAAGAAATGTGCCGAGCAACTGATTATTGAAAAAATGTTATCGAAAAATGTCTCATTCTTCTGTAGTTATAAGCGTGGTATCACATGCCCTTTTTATGTTCGATCGTGAAAAACTCGTTAGTCTTTCCGTTATTGTTGAGGTAATTTCAATACTGAGTTCATATATAAATATTTTTTTGAGTATATAATCAATTTTTTTAAACTGAATAGGTGATCATGTATAAGGAAATATCATTGTGATATACCAAACGAATTTGAAGAAATTTAGCTACTCATTGATCAAAAGGCTGGTACACGGGTATGCATTTAAATTTTATTACTTACATTTTTTATCGTTATATAGTTAAAATATTATTTTGATAAGAATTATATATATTTGTTTTAGTTTGAATGGACTCCTTATACTACTGAAAAAGTGAGACATTGCATCCCACCTCACTTGAGTGACCCATTATATGTATGGATGGTTGTGCTCCCTCTTATATGTTATGATATTATCGAGTGGCATCCCACTGAGCGTGTTCTCTGCCAATTTGGTTGCGTATAATCTATTCCTGAAGAACCTATGAATCTCTCCAATTTGCATAACATTGATAAACGGGGCAAAAAATAAGTCAACTGGCTGATGAAGCACAACAAGTGGGTAATGATCTAGAGGATCGACGTGGACGTATTTCCCATAGGGACCTGATTTATGTGGACCATTATTCGGTTGCGAATGACTATTATCAGTGGTTCAACATGAATGGGAAGTCGTTCCTACTTTTATAGGAATCACGAGGCTGGAGAATTCATCGATGTCAAGAAAAGCGTTCACCGTCACAACATCATCGTCCCCCGACTCGTGGACGGAGAACAGGCGCTTCCGGTTCATCCTCAGCTGTAGCATTAGAACCATTACAGCAGCCATCGTCTACATCGGTTTACATTCCACAATCGTTTCAGATAGGGATGCAACCATTTTAGATGGCACTACAGATGTTTCAGATGCCACCACAGCCAGGTCAAACACCACCACAGCCAGGTCAAACGCCACCACAACCATTTCAGATGCCACCACAGCCGGTTTAAATGCCACCGCCGTAAGGTTTTATGACACCTCATGGCGGATATTATAGTTACATACTTGTAGATCCAGCATGGGCTTCATATGTTGCTTATTTGGCGGGTGATGCTTTATCACAAACTCAGACACCTCCGACCCAGTTTTCGCAGTCATCGATGTCTATGTTTTTGCATTTTTTACGGTTTTCTATCAGCGGTGGGATGGTTAGTCATACACCTCCAAAGTCCTTATTCTATGGAGGTGCTAGATCGTCATCCGTCCCTCATCAGTAAAATGTAGATGCTACTGCTGATGATGATGACAATGAGAGTGAGGAGGAAAACAATTTATACGAATAAACCCTCATCGAAATAAACATTCACCGCCATATTGAACACATTCAAAACGTAGACATCGATAGACTTGTTTAGTTTGTAATTTTGTAATTTAATTTTCTTTATTTATCAGCAAATGTAATGTTTTTATTTAATTATGAACTTTTTATTTATTTTATTTGTTAATGTTTTTATTATTTAATTTTACCTTTTAAGAACTATAACAAAATCTACTTAGCTTGATAGAAGGAATTGATAGAAGGAAGAATGTGAAATTAATTTTGGTGTGGTTTGATGTTTGCATTCAGGGGTATTTATAGGGTAGGGGATATGTGAGTCGTCAAACCTCGGGTAATAATGGAATACCCAATAATTCAAGGTGAATAGCTCGTCAGGTTTCCCACGAAGGAGCGGATGGTGACCCGCGCTTTTTCCACATGGCGTCAGATCGGACGAAAACCCAGGGAAGGCTTGGATGGTGATTCGTGCTTTACCCACGTGGCGCCAGCT